CTAGGCAGGAATAGCCAGGGTCATTCCCTACTAGGGCTTTTGGGGAGCAAGGAGGTGACTTCTGTCCTTTCCTGGAAGGCCCTGCAGCCCCCTCTCATCTTTGGGATCACAGTAACGGAAGCATTTCTGATTGAAAAGTAAAGGCAGCTGCATCAAACTGAAAAAGAAGTTGTGCTTTTATTTTTTCCTTCTAAGTAGCAGCATGTGTGTGTATATAAAAAATACACACTTTCTATTGACTTAAAGTGGTGTAACTGATTGATAGATAAAACCTCACATTCTTAACATTATTGAGGGATTTGGGCCTATTCAGCATTTCAATTTAAAGACATAAATCACGCAAACTGCTTATAGGTTCACTATGGTTGAAGATAATTATGCGTCCCCCTCTGAGCTTATTCTCCTGGGCTTCACAAACAGGGAAGACATACAGGTGATGTGCTTTGTCTTATTCCTTGCCATCTACGTGGTTACCTTCATAGGAAACCTGCAATTAATTGCATTAATCAGAATGGATTCCTGCCTACACACCCCCATGTACTTTTTCCTAAGCCACTTGTCTCTCCTGGATGTCTGCTACTCCTCTACCATCATCCCTCAAGCCTTGCTCGATGTTCTAGTGGAGAAGAAGGTGATTTCCTTCATTAGATGTGCCACTCAGCTCTTCTGCTTTGCAACCTGTGCCACCACCAAGTGCTACGTGCTGGCTGCTATGGCTTACGATCGCTACATGGCCATTTGTAACCCCCTTCTCTACTCCATGGTCATGTCCCAAAGTCTTTGCATAGGGATGTTGGCTGGTGCCTACTTAGCTGGCCTGATCAGCTCTACCATACACACGGTTTCCATATCTCATCTCCCATTCTGTTGGTCCAAGATGATCAATCACTTCTTCTGTGATGGACCACCACTGCTAGCCCTCTCCTGCTCTGACACCCCTTCCATCGAGGTGATGGTTGCTGCCGTGGTGGGGTTCAAGGTACTGAGCACCACGGTCTTCATCCTCATCTCCTACTTTTTGGTCCTTTCCATTGTCATGCGGATGTAGTCTGTGGTTGGTCAACGCAAAGCTTTCTTCACCTGTGCCTCTCACTTCATCTCCATTGCTTTGTACTATGGCAGCTCCCCCTTCATGTACCTCTGTTGCAGAATGACTCTAAGAGCAGAACCATAGAGTTCTGGAGGACTGTGCAAGCAAGGCAGGGGGTGGCCCCCACAGGTGGACAGAGACCGGACCTGGGAGGAGAATGTGGAGGAAGCTGTGGGGGCTAACCAATACTGTTATGCCACGAAGGAGTGGCTGAATACCACTCCTATATATGTGTGAACTGCGTCACAAATAAACTAGAAGTTGCTTATCACCCATATTGGGTTGGCCTGTCAGCTTCTCCTCGCCGCTTACAAATGGCGCCCGAACAGGGACGCGGATTACAGGGCCCTGGTCGCTGGGGACCCGGATTATAGGGCTCCGACTAGCGGGGACCCAGGATATAGGGCCCCGACTAGCGGGGACCCGGGATACAGGGCCCCGGTCGACGGGGACCCGGATAAAGGGCCCCGGCCGACGGGGACCCGGGATAAAGGGCCCCGACTAGCGGGGACCCGGGATACAGGGCCCCGACTAGCGGGGACCCGGGATACAGGGCCCCGGTCGACGGGGAGCCGGATAAAGGGCCCCAGCCGACGGGGACGGGATACAGGGGGACGGGGACGGGATACAGGGACCTGGTTTACGGGGAGGGATACAGGGACCCCGGACCCAACGGGGACCCGGTTTAACGGGGACCCCAGGGTCCTGGTCGACGGGGACCCGGGATACAGGGCCCCGACTAGCGGGGACCCGGGATACAGGGCCCCGGTCGACGGGGACCCGGAACGGCGAGAGAGCGGCGCCGGCGGCAGCGGCCGGGCAGCGCGGGCAATGCTGCTGCGGTGGCGTGACGGACCCGGGTGCTGGGACTAACCGAAAAAGTCCGCCGCTGGGGTGAACCAGACACTGCTGCGTCGGGAGGCCGATCCGGAGACCGAGGTTACAGGACGACCCAGAAGAAGACGATCCGGAAAAGGCTGGCCATGAAAATGGACCGAGAGGTAGCCCTGAACTTTTTACAGTGCTTTTTATAAAAGCGGGGAATTGAGCCCTGAACTTATTACAGTGCTTTTTATAAAAGCGGGGAACTGAGCCCTGAACTTTTTACAGTGCTTTTTATAAAAGCGGGGAATTGAGCCTGAGACTCTAAAGCAGCTAGCAGGTCTACTGCCTGTAGGGAAGGCTAAGAGATTTTTTTTGCAGATCCTAATACAATATTTGAGAAGAGTGAGTGGCAAAAGTTTGGTGATGAACTATTTGACTCAGTGCTTAATGATTATAAGAAGGCAAAGAAACTCGGTAAACCACGGAGGGAAGTAATGAACTGTATAAAAAGATACAAGGCAGAAAAGAAAACTGCCGCGGTAGCAACGGAGAAACTAGGAACAGACGTCCCCGGTCGGTTGAAACCGGGGGAAGATTACAACTCGTCCCGTCCCATGCCCCCCCCCAACTCGCGGGAGCACAGGGTTTCCCACCCCCCCCCCCCCTTCTTTTTCTCCCCCTCCATCAGAAGGTGCCGCGGAGGAGGTGTAACCCCCTGCTCCCCCACCACCCCAGTTCCGAAAGTAGGGACTGTGAAAAGGACAGAGAATGTATATTAGAAGGTATACGCATGATAAATGTCGAGAAATCCGAAAGAAAAAGGGCGGTGCCTCGGCGCCGGATCGATTGCGGCGCCACTGTGAAGCACGCAGTAAAAAATAGAGATCATGCGCGAGCGGGAGATTTAAAGGAACTGCGAGCCTCTCCAACCCACTACGCCCTAGAGTGAAAAAATTTTTAACTCAGTCACGGAGGAGCCAGGTCTGCAGATGGCCACATACCGAACGAGAGACATCTGATAAGAAAGACACAGCTGCGAGCAACGGAGACCCTGAGTTCGGCGCAGGATCAGCCCCTGAGTCCCCTGAATCCGAGCCAGATTTATATCCTCTGCTTCCAGACCCTGACTCTTTGTCTCCCGGGTCGGTCTGCTCAGACTTACTGGCCCTGGAGACGCTCAGTTGTAACAATGGGTAACCAAATATGTGATCATTACTGGGGAATTTTCTGCAATGGGCATTTCTGCATATCCTGTGTTTACTACACAGCAGGGGGCTAAAGAGTGGGAAGCTCTTGATCTCAAAATAGTTAAGGAGGCCTGGCAAACAGTGACCACGTATGTGTTAAAATTCTCTTATACTCAAGCTGTATATGTTATGATTTTTTCTTGCAATTGACAGGGGGAGCCCATACAGTCTCTCTGTGATACTCATGTACTAGAAGTTGGTAAATATAAGTATGTCCAGGTTTCTATCAACCCTTGGAGACCTCTGTAGATACTGCTGGCCACTTCTTCCAGCACAGGCTGGCCACCTGTGTCGGAATGAGTGTGCATTTTGGTCAGTATAAAAGCCCAAGCCTCATACAATGTGGGGGAGGCAGAGCCTCTGCGGGGACGCCTGCTAAGGTTGAGCCTGCCACCTCGCACTGCAATGATGCTTCTCGGAGCTGGTTTGCTGTTAGTCTCCACAGGGTCCTTGTGCCACGTTCTGTACGTGGGACTGTAGTGGGAGTAATGATGGCTTTTGCAGGGACTCAAAAAAAAAAAAAAAAAAAAAAAAGGGGGGAGAGAGAGAGTAATGATGTTACATTTAACTTTAACCTGTCTAACTGTCTACTTCTGAAGAACTGATAACCTGGGGAGGGGGTATATTTGTGCCCTCCTGCCTACAGGTCCATGGCGACTGTGCAAAGTTTGTGCAGCCTTGCCATGAGCTGGACAGACGAATGGATAAACCTGAAGCCTCAGCTACAGGAGCTGACCGTGATTACCCCAAGCAGAATGAGATGGAGGAAGAGAAAGAACAAATAACTGCAAAACATCACTTGGGGGCAACTGAAAAGTAACATCCTGAATATGTGTGCTTGTAAAGTAGCTATATTAGAGGTTGTGATTTTGTGTATAAAACCACCCGTATTTACTAGCTAGTTGCTAATAAGAAACTGCACCTTGTATTGTATAGATTTGTCACTTGTAAAAGAGATGTTAATAGTGTGGAAATTTGCAGTAGCTGCTAGAAAATGCTAAGGCAAAAGCTAGAAAAAAAAAAAAGAAAAAAAAAATTTAATACAATGGTAGTGTTATAAAGCAGGTGATGGAACAAATTTAAGAGAGGGGGAGAATTCCACTGGTAAGAAATTTCTTTGGCTAGTCCTTCACTGCCATCAGCATCTTCGACATGCTGCTGCACCCAGTAATAGTTAACTCTGCTAATGTAAATTTGTGTGTGCCTTGCTGTAGTAGCGACTTGTTACTGGATAAAACAAAAGGGGGGAGATGTGGAGACAGTGTTCTCACAGGAGAATGCATAATTGGTACATAAACTTTGAACAGTCCTGAAAGATACAGCAAGGCCATGAGAGGCCTGAAGAAGCTTAAGCAAGCAAGATAAGAGGCTGGAATTCACCAAGTTAATGAGAACTGTGGACTGTTGGCAAGCTTTCAAGGTTGAGTTCTCACACCTGTGTTTAACCAATTATATGTTAGTCACTAAGGGTCTTCAAAACATGTATCCAATCATAATATGCCAAATCACTGTAAGTGCTTCAGCCTGGGCCTTGGCTCAACTAAGCAGACTGGGTTGCTGAGTTGCTAAGCAGACAGTTCTACATCGAAGGCAATTTCTGATTTGTTTTAATGTTGACTCTGTAAGACATGCAACACTGCAGAACCTTTTGTTGTTGGAACAGGGACATGGATGTGAAGAGTTTGATGGAATGTGTTGTATGAGTCTCTCTGATTATGCTAATTCGATGCGCGCACAGCTGAGAACCCTGGCTGTGACCACGAGATGGTGAAGTTCAGGATCTTGTGTGGTAGGACTAGTAGAATACCAAGTAGAATTGCAACCCTGGACTTCAGCAGGGCAAACTTTGGCCTTTTCAAGCAATTGCTAGGGGAAATCCCATGGGCAAGGCTGCTTGAAGGAAAAGGGGCCCAAGATAGTTGGTTGACATTCAAGGACTGCTTTTTCCGTGCTCAAGATCGGAGCATCCCGACACGTAGGAAGTCAAGGAAGAGGGCCAAGAGACCTGTGTGGCTAAATAGGGAATTGCTGGGTATGCTCAAGTGGAAGAGGAGAGTTTACAGGTCATGGAAGGAGGGGCTGGCCACTTGGGAGGAATATAAGGCTGCTGCTAGGGGATGTAGGAAGGCAGCTAGGAGGACTAAGGCTTCCTTAGAATTAAACCTGGCGAGAAGGGTCAAGGACAGCAAAAAGAGCTTTTTCAAGTACATGGCAGACAAAACTAACACCAGAGGCAATGTAGGCCCACTGATGAACGGGATGGGTGCCCTGGTGACAGAAGATGCAGAGATGGCAGAGTTACTGAATGCCTTCTTTGTCTCTGTCTACTCTGCTGCAGGCAGTCCTGAAGAGCCCTATACCCCTGAGACCTTAGATGAAGTCAGGTCGACGGAGCGACTTGTCTTAGTCGATGAGGAATGGGTTAGAGATCAGTTGAGCAATCTGGACATCCATAAATCCATGGGTCCAGATGGGATGCACCCACGGGTGCTGAGGGAACTGGCGGAAGTCATTGCTAGACCACTCGCCATCATCTTTACCAAGTCCTGGGAAACGGGAGAGGTGCCTGAGGACTGGAGGAAGGCAAATGTCACTCCGGTCTTCAAAAAGGGCAAGAAGGAGGACCCGGGTAACTATAGACCGGTCAGCCTCACCTCCATCCCTGGGAAAGTGATGGAACACCTTGTCCTTGGTGCCATCTTAAAGCATATCAAGGATAAGAGGGTTATGAGGGGCAGTCAACATGGCTTCACCAGGGGGAAAATCATGTTTGACCAATCTCTTAGCCTTTTATGAGGAAATAACACGGTGGATGGATGATGGCAGAGCGGTGGATGTGGTCTACCTTGACTTCAGCAAAGCCTGGGAAAGTGTAGAGTCCTGCATCTGGGCAGGAACAACCCCAGGTTCCAGTATAGGTT